ATCCTTAAGTATTTATTTGTCTATAGTGGGGCAGTGATTCTTAATTATTTATTTGTCTATAGTGGGGCAGTGATTCTTAATTATTTATTTGTCTATAGTGGGGCAGTGTTCCTTAATTATTTATTTGTCTATAGTGGGGCAGTGATCCTTAATTATGTATTTGTCTATAGTGGGGCAGTGTTCCTTAATTATTTATTTGTCTATAGTGGGGCAGTGTTCCTTAATTATTTATTTGTCTATAGTGGGGCAGTGATACTTAAGTATTTATTTGCTACAGGGGGGCAGTGATCCTTAAGTATTTATTTGTCTATAGTGGGGCAGTGATCCTTAATTATTTATTTGTCTATAGTGGGGCAGTGATCCTTAAGTATGTATTTGCTACAGTGGGGTAGTGATCCTTAAGTATTTATTTGTCTAGAGTGGGGCAGTGATCCTTCAGTATTTATTTGTCTACAGTTGGGCAGTGAACCTTAAGTATTTATTGGTCTATAGTGGGGCATTGATCCTTAAGTATTTACTTGTCTACAGTGGGGAAGTGATCCTTAAGTATTTACCTTAAGTATTTATTGGTCTATAGTGGGGCATTGATCCTTAATTATTTAATTGTCTATAGTGGGGCATTGATCCTTAAGTATTTATTTTTTACAGTGGGACAGTGATCGTTAAGTATTTATCTGCTACAGTGGGACAGTTATCCTTAAGTATTTACCTTAAGTATTTATTTGTCTATAGTGGGGCAGTGATCCTTAAGTATCTATTTGCTTCAGTGGGACAGTGCTCCTTAAGTATTTATTTGTCTACAGTGGGGTAGTGATCCTTAAGTATTTATTTGTCTACAGTGGGACAGTGATCCTTAAGTATTTATTTGTCTACAGTGGGGCAGTGATCCTTAAGTATTTATTTGTCTATAGTGGGGCAGTGATCCTTAAGTATTTATTTGTCTACAGTGGGGCAGTGATCCTTAAGTATTTATTTGTCTACAGTGGGGCAGTGATCCTTAAGTATTTATTTGTCTACAGTGGGGCAGTGATCCTTAAGTATTTATTTGTCTACAGTGGGGCAGTGATCCTTAAGTATTTATTTGTCTACAGTGGGGCAGTGATCCTTAAGTATTTATTTGTCTACAGTGGGGCAGTGATCCTTAAGTATTTATTTGTCTACAGTGGGGCAGTGATCCTTAAGTATTTATTTGTCTACAGTGGGGCAGTGATCCTTAAGTATTTATTTGTCTACAGTGGGGCAGTGATCCTTAAGTATTTATTTGTCTACAGTGGGGCAGTGATCCTTAAGTATTTATTTGTCTACAGTGGGGCAGTGATCCTTAAGTATTTATTTGTCTACAGTGGGGCAGTGATCCTTAAGTATTTATTTGTCTACAGTGGGGCAGTGATCCTTAAGTATTTATTTGTCTACAGTGGGGCAGTGATCCTTAAGTATTTATTTGTCTACAGTGGGGCAGTGATCCTTAAGTATTTATTTGTCTACAGTGGGGCAGTGATCCTTAAGTATTTATTTGTCTACAGTGGGGCAGTGATCCTTAAGTATTTATTTGTCTACAGTGGGGCAGTGATCCTTAAGTATTTATTTGTCTACAGTGGGGCAGTGATCCTTAAGTATTTATTTGTCTACAGTGGGGCAGTGATCCTTAAGTATTTATTTGTCTACAGTGGGGCAGTGATCCTTAAGTATTTATTTGTCTACAGTGGGGCAGTGATCCTTAAGTATTTATTTGTCTACAGTGGGGCAGTGATCCTTAAGTATTTATTTGTCTACAGTGGGGCAGTGATCCTTAAGTATTTATTTGTCTACAGTGGGGCAGTGATCCTTAAGTATTTATTTGTCTACAGTGGGGCAGTGATCCTTAAGTATTTATTTGTCTACAGTGGGGCAGTGATCCTTAAGTATTTATTTGTCTACAGTGGGGCAGTGATCCTTAAGTATTTATTTGTCTACAGTGGGGCAGTGATCCTTAAGTATTTATTTGTCTACAGTGGGGCAGTGATCCTTAAGTATTTATTTGTCTACAGTGGGGCAGTGATCCTTAAGTATTTATTTGTCTACAGTGGGGCAGTGATCCTTAAGTATTTATTTGTCTACAGTGGGGCAGTGATCCTTAAGTATTTATTTGTCTACAGTGGGGCAGTGATCCTTAAGTATTTATTTGTCTACAGTGGGGCAGTGATCCTTAAGTATTTATTTGTCTACAGTGGGGCAGTGATCCTTAAGTATTTATTTGTCTACAGTGGGGCAGTGATCCTTAAGTATTTATTTGTCTACAGTGGGGCAGTGATCCTTAAGTATTTATTTGTCTACAGTGGGGCAGTGATCCTTAAGTATTTATTTGTCTACAGTGGGGCAGTGATCCTTAAGTATTTATTTGTCTACAGTGGGTCAGTGATCCTTAAGTATTTATTTGTCTATAGTGGGGCAGTGATCCTTAAGTATTTATTTGTCTACAGTGGGACAGTGATCCTTAAGTAATTACTTGTCTATAGTGGGGCAGTGATCCTTAAGTATTTATTTGCTACAGTGGGGCAGTGATCCTTAAGTATTTATTTGCTACAGTGGGACAGTGATCCTTAAGTATTTATTTGTCGACAGTGGGACAGTGATCCTTAAGTATTTATTTTTTCGAACATTAATTTGTTTACACGGTTGTTTTGATAAAGTGAATGTTTTCAATTATTGTACGTCAATAAATTATATTTACATATTTGATGTATAACAAACGAGACCCGGATAGTGTAATATGGATAAATTTACATTGCATTACTTACATAACATGTTAATTATTTAATATGCACTGTAGATATTGTGTTAACTGGTTATTATGCTGAACTATGTTATCTAAAGAGTGCAGCGCGTGCATGCAGCGCGTAACTGAAGCGCGCGCAGTACTAATTCTAACTAAGTCCTTGCGAAGGAAAATATAGAATAAAAACAATTTTTTCAGATCGTCCGCTAGGCCTTTCTGCCTTCTAGGGCTTCTTCAGGCGGATTGATCTAAGACCCTAATATATATATATATTAGGGTAGTCAAGAAAAAATCAATTCATTATATCTATATGAATTATTTATATTCAACTATCATCTTGATTGATTTAACTGTTAAGATAAAATAACTTTGATATATTTGCGGTGTGTAGACGGAAATCTGTCAAAATCAATCCGCAAACTCAAAGATCGCCTATACTACCTGTACACTTTTCTACATGAAGGTGCGATATCGCTCCTATAAGCAACTTGTTTTTGTTTATCTATTTTCGTACTAGAAATATGTAAACATTTTACTAGCACCAATCCCATTGTTACATTCTGCACGGAACAAACATATTTTGCATTCTAATATGAGGAAGTGTTCATATTTCCCTATACAAATACTGGCGCATTCTTTTGAAGACACATTTTATGCATTAGTCAAGAATTTAAGGAAATATAGCCAGAAAATGCATTAATACGAAGTGCATTAGTTCCTATGGTATTTTAGTAATTCATCTTTTCATCATCGCTTCAGGAATCAATCTGAAAAGGAACTTATATAATTTTTAAGTTTTGTTATCATAACGATATAATTATATTTTGGTTAGGTAATTTGCTACTTTTTATGAATAGTTAAATGTAGCAGTAAATGTTTAACGTAACATCACGTGGGGTCGGACAAAGTAACATCACGTGGGGTCGGACAAAGTAACTCTTTCATATGCTACATTACAATAAGGAATTTTCTGATGGCCATTTTTACGAAAATATATTTTTGGATTCAACAAGATTCACGTGAATGGAGTCGATATCTCATTGGCATTTCTTGGTTTTGTTTTGTTTTATTCAGTTTTATTCAGTTCTAATTCCTATTAATATGCAAAAATATGGTCATTTAAAGACGTGTCTCCATTATGTTATGTATGCGTGCATGTATTTGTCAAACTTAAATTTACCTATCTGTCGTACTTTCATTAACATCTGTTTACCATATTTTCACCCTCCTACGCGGTATATATAATACTTTTACACCTGCCTTTCTGTCAGTTCGTATGACGTATTGTCAATTTCATTGACGTGTTTACTATCCTCGAAACAAATGTAAAACAATAGAATGAATAAACTGAATGAATGGATGGATGGATGGATGGATGGATGAATGAGTGCGAGAGTAAAATGAATGAATGAGATAGTCTTGAATATTTCTCGAAATACACAACTCACCAATGAAAAATATATGCTGTCATACCTCCTCGTACCTTACTGTTATACTTCAACGTACATTTCTGTCATACTTCTAAGTACCTTACTGTCATACTTCTAAGTACCTTACTGTCATACTTCTACGTACCTTACTGTCATACTTCCACGTACCTTACTGTCATACTTCCACGTACATTACTGTCATACTTCTAAGTACCTTACTGTCATACTTCCACGTACATTACTGTCATACTTCCACGTACCCGTTGTTCATACTTTCGCCCTTCTTTACGACACATATCATATTTACACATGCCTTTATGTCAATACATCTGTCGTTTTGTCATTTTCAATGTTTTTTTTATTCTATCTTCCGAATGGGAATTGAGGATTAAATAGATTCTGTTTATAGGGGACATACCTTCACTTCAATAATAACAGAAGCCAACAATTGAACGAATGAATAAAGAAACGAATGAATTAACATAATGAGTGAGTAAATAGATGAATACATGAAATGAAATGAATACATGAAACGAAATGAATACATGAAATGAAATGAAAGAATGAATGAATGAATGAATGAATGAGTGAGTGAGTGAGAGAATAACGAATATAATGAATAAACGAAATGAATGGATGAATTAGTGAGTGACTAAATGAATGAATGAATAAATGAATGGTAAGAATGAAATGAATTGATAGGAAATGAATGACTGATGTTTCTTGAAATAAAAAACTTGTAAATGTAAATAAATGCTAAATACAAAAACGACGCATGTGGACATATATATCATACACACAAAAATAAAACTCACCTGTATTTATAAATTCCTGTGTACGAGATCACACATTCTCCACCACTGGTTAAAATCATCAACTGCCTGAGCAATACAAACTGTTTGTTACTTTCCTGCTGAATCGCGAATCTTACGGATGTAGAGGATCAGGTGAGATGTGTCTCCGCCACAGCATTGTCAAATGAATACACAGATTTGAAAATAAAATAAACCCACGTTAATTTGTCATATTAAATCAGAAAAAATGAAGCACTCAGTCATCTTCAACCTCGTCGCTTCCCGCTTCAAACACCGTATACGTTTATAGGGGGTTTACTCAGTGAAGCAGATCGTTAGCGGAGATAATCGTCCATTTGCCGGTTACTGCTGGCGAATAGAGAAATACTGAACTAGTATTATCGCTATACATATATGCTATACATATATGTATATACACTGTACATACGTACGTATACTGTATATATATAATAGTTATAAATAGGGTATCATATCGTACACATGAATTTATAATAGTTATACATGGGGTATCATATCGTTGAGAGTTGAGGGGTAAGTGGCTTTCTAATATTTGATTCGAGCATCAATTCGTCCAATATCCGGTTTCGTTCGGGGATGCGGGCTTCGCAGTTTGATCCGGAAGGATGACTAGCTTGTCGTGACACACATTTAATGAAAGTCGTAGTCAATACTAAACCATATAAACCCTACACACTATACCATCGACACATTGATCGTTTTAATTAATTACTGCAGCTAATGGAAAAGCCGGGTAAAAAATAAATTAATTTGTGTAAGCGGTTTTTAACTTTATATAGGGTAAGAATGTGGAAAAAATGTAAGTCACTAAAATACTTTGTATAGATAAAGTATATATTGGATTCCACATGCACTTTTACTTCATATGACATTAATGAACCCAGTCTTTCATTTATTTCTATATTCTAGAGAGCCTTCTCGAAATAAAATAGAAAAAATCCTGATAAGTTATCTATTGAATAATATTCCATGAATAAAAAACATAAAATTTCAATTAAAAAATAAAATTTCTGGCAAAAATCAATTATCGTCACAAAACTATATATGCCTCGATTATTACCAAGTGCAATTTGTACTCTGGTAACGCTACAGGAACATCGGGAACCGTCGGCATTTTCCGTAAACGAGACACTCGTTTGGATGTCATGATGACTCTCATAAAAAATAACAGACCACTTAACAGTAATTATACAAAATGTTATCAGTATCGATTTATATTTAGAATGGGACTTAATTAAATGTTTATCGCTCCTGTGTGATCTATTCCGTCTTTGCGTATTGCAGAGTTTTCTTCTCTTGGGTGCAGTTATTGGTTGTTAAGTCACTTGTTTGTGAGAGTAAAGTCATCAATTTTTGAGAAAATTACGTCGTTTTATCAAAAATTGATGACGTTTCTCCCACAAACAAGTGACGTAACACCCAATACCTGCACCCAAGATAAGACAACTCTACAATACGCAAAGACGGAATTGAAGAGTTATCTTTTCTTGGGAGCAGGGGTTGATTGTTACGTCATTGGTTAGTGTGAGAAAATTACGTCGTTTTCTAAAAAATTGATGACGTTAATCTCACAAACAAGTGACTTAACAACCAATACCTGCACCCAAGAGAAGAAAACTCTGCAATACGCAAAGACGGAATACGCAAAGACAGAATATATATATACATATATAACATATGTATACAATGTATTATCTACACGAACCATGAAGACTAAACTCCATACGAAGCGTACCTAACATATTGAAAAATACTAGAAATTTTGAAGTATTTATTTTTGAACTTTTGTTTTAAAATGCCGAACTTATTGAAAACGCTCCATTTTGAGAGATTAAATTTTGAACATTCGTATTAAAATACCTAACATATTGAAAACATTACAAATGTTCATATATTTAATCTTGAAAGATATTATATATTTTGAATTTCGTATAAAAAACAAAGCACCGATATGTTAAATTTTTAATGGTATATTTTTTCGTATTATTTCTAATGTTCTCTTTTTTAATAATATCTACAAGCATAAAACAAACCAGATGAACTGTTCGGTTTTTATATATAAAACGTCTCTGGGTTTCAATTTTCACACGTAGCTATTCCGGACACGTTTACGCGGTTATCTCCCTTTGAGAGATGCGGGGCGAGCTATAGTAATATGGATGATAAACCTATTCACGTGTTTCGTGTGAAAGTTTCATTCGCCATATGACTAAACAAAAGTGCATTCGACATTTACAATTCTCATTAAACAGATTCTTGTTTCCAGGTTATGAACTAATTGTCGGCAATAAACCTTGAAACTATTAACAAACTTATCTGAAACACGAAAAGTAGTAATACAACAATAGGTATGTATGAAACATTATGACAAAAACAAATAGGAGGAGAATGCATAAAAAACTCTCAGACTGTTTCACAAATATCGCTGTATGTATATCTGTTATAAACTAAACGCAAGATGAAATATTGCTTTGTTAAATGAAACCTGCATTCTATATTATCGATTCTAGATCAAAGAACGTGATCTAAAACTATGCCAAAAAGATCAAAGTTTAGTTTTTCCATTTCCCGATATTGCAAACAGAACATTATGATCATTATGCATGCGTCAAAATCCTTTTATTATACTTCTCTAATGATGCACGCCCTTAGTACAGTCAAAGGCTCACGATTTTCACGAGATCATACTGTTTGTTTTCTCTCAAACAGGAAGAATCAAATAAAAATAAACATCACAGAGGAAGCGTGTAACGCTACTGATACCAAATATCTGTTGAAATCGTTAACCTAGCAGGCGAAAGTCCCTTGGTAATCCGTTCTGGTACAGAGGAGATAAGACAACTTATCTCTGTATATGTTGTATCAGTAATACATGTATTTCCCGAAAGTTATAAGTATAAGCTTAAAGAACTCATCGCCCAACTCTATCACAGGGGCCTGCAAACACAGTACTTTTCTGGTGTGTTAGTACATGTAATACTATCAAACATTTTAGCGCTGCGGAACTGTAACTCAATAGATGACATGTATCATTAATCATATTATTAGTTATCTCTGGGTTACGAGGGGTCTACGGGCTCATATACCCCGTCTGGTTTTTATACACCCCGAGCCAAAGGCTCTGTTATCCAACCAGAAAGAGTGTTACAAATTTGAAGGGTGACAAACACATGTAAACGTAAACTTTATTTATTTTACAACATTTAGGAAACAGATTATTTCAACCTATATTAATCACTCTTGTTGGCCCGGATGTAAGCGCGCAGGTGGTCTTAATGTGGGAGGAAACCGGAGTACCCGGAGAAAACCCACGTTGTGGGGCAGGTGACCCAATACCTGTTCACGTCCGATCGAACCCCGGTCGCCTTGGTGGAAAGCAAGTGCGTTATCCATGGCACCACCCGACCAAAGTTAATGTAGAACATTGCAGTCACACGGAGCGTATTATTTGGTCCATGTTCATTTTTTGGATCATTTTTTAATTTATTATTTATATATTTTCAAGTGCCATCTCGATTACTATTGTTTTATGATAGCATTTTATTCTAAGGAAAACGACTATATAAAGGAAATATGGCAGAGTAATTTCCCTTGTAAAGGTGTTCATATCTCATTTTGATGCATAGTGAAATTTACAAAATTTTCAGGATAGCGCTACTGGTAAAATGTAGGATTTGCAGTGGATAGGTCTCGAGTTCAACTCCTGTAAATGTAATTTCTATTTTTGTTTTCACAACTCAAATTTCAAGCAAGTAAAATACTGAAAAATACATCTTAAGGTGTCCTGATTTATATTGCGCACTTCTTCCGTCCCACTGCACTGTGGTTTTTCGTTTTGCGTACAAACGTAGCACATTTGGGCCAAAACATCAGTCAGTTAGAGCGATAGTATAACAATCTTAAGTTCAGGGTTCGAATCTCGGTCTGGCCGAACTCTGTTGTTGACTGTATTTTGTTTATTTCATCTTGACTGCTTTTTCATAAACGTTTCGCAAGGTATGGTTTTCTTTTAAGAAATAATTTTTTCAAAGCTATAGTAGTCATGCCGGGGAAAAAAGTACCCAGTGCGTAGTTAGCGGTTTTAGCAGTGTTACGGGGATCCTTAATCAAATATTTCATACATGTATACTACTGACTATTGTAATTTTAACTTAGCTTAATGGTATTCTTTACCTGCATTTTGGTTTGATGTTATTTTGTTGGGCGTTTTATTAAAAGCTAAGATCATTTAAAGTCGTATCTCCATGTGTGTAATGTATGCTTGAGGCAGGGTCTGTTGGTGTATTTGCCTCCTAGTGATAGCGCGAATCTTATTCCGACACTAGAGCGCCACCTCACTGAAATACCATGACGAAGGCACCCACCACAGTATTCCTTCCGGTCACATTATCCTGACAGCGGGTGAACCAGTTGTTGTCATTACCCTACTAAATAGTGATATTTTGGCAGGGAATAACTACAATTGTTTAAGGATTGTGGTATGTCCTGGCATAGGAACAGAACCTACTGCCTTCCTCACTTGGGCGAACATTCTATACTGTGGTAAAAAGTGAGGTATTGGCTCTTTACCCTATGTCTGCCGAAAAAATACCCAAATAATAATTTGTTCTTCAGTAGACGTTCTGCTGATTATGGCTTATCTGACGTAGTAACGTGTGCACGCCCACCTGTGACAATTTGATGATATTTTTATACATTTCTTTTATTATTTAATCATTGTTGATAATTTTGCATATTTATGTATGCATGACTCATCACTTGTTAAAATGACTACTACTAGGTCATGCACGATTCATAAACATCCGGTTTCCTCTCGCATCGCCTCCCGCCTACCACCAACACCGCTTGTTGTAATTTGTCATATTCACAGGTCAAAAGGTTGAAATATGATTCGTCATTTTCTACTAGCGGTTAATTCATCAGCTCAGTCTGAAGATGTAAAAGTTTTATACAAGCTGAATGTTTGTTGGTGATCTAGGTGCAGTTGACAGCGTCTGTGTAGAATAAGATACTGTAAACATACTAAAGTTTGAGCGCATTATCGAACATACAGTAACAGATTAGCACAGATGTTTTGGCGCATTCCGAAAACATGCAACGCATAACTTTATATCAGAACGTCAACTAGCGCAGTCATAATTTAGCGCAATAATTGTAGCGCGAAAAGTGCTAAATAAAGGATATTACTAAAATATGTATCGCGCTTTCCGGAAAATTTAATTAAGCGTATATAAACATCATAAGGTTGTTAACTATACATACAGGTGGCTATATGTTTTCATTGTTTAGCTATTCTAAATCTTATTAAATGCTGTCATCTTGATTAAACTTTCTTTTTCTTCCATCATTTACTATCCGCGGTATTTGCAGTGCTCGTACTGTCTGTTATCCAACCTGATAAAAAAATGACGATGTCGGTCGAACATCGGATTCGTCAAATACCATGTATTCCTCGAACTATTAATCTGGACCATTCGAGTTCGAGTAAACGGGTTT